TCTACTCAGACTATTAACTTGACTCTCTTTCATTTTTCATTGAACCCTAGCAATTAGATTACGTCACCCAACCTACTTTTGTAACTTTATTTTAGTTTCTAACCGATTAACGCTTTCTAAATTACGTAATTTGTTGTCAAAAATTAACAATTGCATTAACACATCTTTGGAAATATTCCTTTTGTTGCCAAGATAAATTACTATAAATTTGCGGTTTGTACAGCTTGAGAATGATATCGCCGAAAAGAGTAACTCTTTGCTGAACGCCTTTTCTTTTCTATGACTGAATGGGAATTTTCAAATTAATAAGTAGTAAACTGTTATAATTTAAACAGGTTTGATGTGTTTGGCAAATGTCTTTGGTGTGCATACATTTCACTGCTCTGAAATAATTGGGGAGGTCTAAATCACTTAGTACGACGAACAACATTTGCATTTTAAGTACTATTGTCAAGTTAGTGCTTTTATATTGTTCATAGACTTGGCAAGCGCATTATTGAGAGCTTTTCTAACAGGCCACTGCAGACTTTTATCAACAACTAACTCTACCCAATATGATCAGATGGTCAACTGAGAGTGCTAAGCAATAATAAATTCTAGAAGGCAGATGACCAGTCGAGAACCTTTAGCTCAGAAATATGTTATAGGAAGTGGAGATGAATTGTACATACACTGAATGACCATCAAGGGATGTCACACACCACTCCCTTGAGTAGGACTCAAATGCTGTGTCATTAGTCAGGCAGCTGGAGGTCACATGGAGACCATATGAAGAGGAAGTGAAAAATTTTTTTCGCATTTGTGTGGCCAGATAGAAACAAGACGACAGAGACCAGAATACAATGGAGACGTGCCTCTGAAGCCCTATGTTCCACCCAGAACCAAAAGGATAAAACTAACTATAAACCGAGAAAAAAATAAATATCAGTGCTTATTATCCAGTGAGAATTATAAACAGAGTTTTTGATGGGGTGGGTAGCACTGGAATCAAGGAAGATCTTTTTGTGACGAGATGGTTTAGTGGCTCACTTGAACAGCTGAGTTATCAGCATCCCTCTCCTCCACGCACACTGAAACTCGAATTCAGGACCCATCGTTTTAAAAGCCAAAATATCATCTTAGTCGAATGGACTAAAGGATAACACGGTGGTGTCTGGAACCATGGATCCAACGTTTCATCCTATCTGAGGCTTGAGATCTTGATTCACTTGTACCCTACTGACTGGCGTTGTTTACGCCAAGACTCGAACTATGGTAACATTGATTCCCACAATGTCTTTGATCCCATTAGTCATCTGTTAAGACGTGAAAACGTTTCTCCACTAAGCTATTGAATCACGAGAGTTATTACCTACCTTTTGTCTTACACTTTCGCCTGATGGATTTATAAGGCTGAAGTAACTTATCATATTCGGTTTCTGAACTTGATGTATGGCTTTCACTACTGTTTTAAACGAGTGATAGTGAGTTTGAACACCAAAGTGTGTGCCTAAGCTAACCGCAAAGAGATGTATAAGAAACGCACCTACCAATAAAATTATCCTATCAGTTCAGTCCTGTAAGTCGACAAGGTAGAAACACCAAAAATTGCAGTAATAAACTCAAACATTTCAGTAAAATGTTTTGTTATACTGAAAATGAACAAAAGACTTTCATGCGTAAGTGAAACTAAATGCGAAATTTTTAGACAAAAGCTGTTGTTGGAAAGTAGATTTCGCAAAAGACAGGGAGGGAAACGCAGTTTAATTTCAGATATACGGAATTATGACTCGATATGATTAAGAAAAGCAAACTGTATTTGAAACGTTATCTAGTAACTAATGCTGTTTCACTGTGTTATCTATCTTGTAAAAAGACTAGTACGGAACTGCAAACTACGTAAGACTAGTGTTATGTTCTTTTGGCACAATCTGTCGGTTCCTACTTATCGTAGCTTCACTTACAATTTCATTTTTATGTTTGATACATGAATTGAGGTTTTGACGTGGTAAACAGATGGCATCTACTCTTTTCATGACAAAATAATGTCATCGAAATCTATTGGAATACTACTGGCACGTTAAGCTAGTTGACTGGGGAAAAGAAATTGAGTATATTCTGTTAAACTATAATGATTACTAATGCATTTTACAAATACATGGAAAATTTACAACAGACATAAACTTTAACTAACTCTTCAAACTGCTAATGTAAACTAAAGTTGTTTTTCAGGTGAAGTTAAGTAGTATCGACTAGTGCGCGTTTACCAATGACTGTCAGTTCGCATAACCGTCGTTCAATGAAAATGGCAATTACTTCTAACAGTCTAGAAAAACATTTTTATAAGCCTTATGCGCTATTTTCATAGCCTGAAGAACCATATTTGACCTGCACAGTGTGTCTAGTCGAATACGACAGATCACATATTTTACCCTAACATCAATACATTTAGATGGTACCAGGTTCGATCTCTGATGGAGTCTTGAGTGCGCACTAATGAAGAGTCTCAAACCAGGACGAAACAGCTGTCTAGTACTCCTTGCTGGTTTTCAACTGTCCCTTAACTGATATCGACCCGTGGAGAAACTCGAAACAGATCAAATCCCTACAAAATCTAACTCCTGCCAAAAAGTCCACTTTAAATTTTTCACTGATTAAGCGCTAATTTTAAACTTTACCCTTGAAATATTTGAAAACCAAGAAAATTAAAAATTATATTTTTTTCAGTTTATTAAGAAGAAGTATGCCAACATGACATTCCATTTCTTGTCTAGCAATGATTGCGTAATGTTTGCTTCAAATTGGGTTTGTTTTGCTTCTTCACATATGGTTGAAATCTAGGAGTCGCGCTGACATAGTGAAGGCAACAGAAGTAATAGCAATGGTGGATGTAGTGGAGGAAGACAGTGAAAGTTAGAGTACTAGTATAAGTAGCAGTAGAACAGTGATAGAAAGGCGCAGTGTTCGTAGTCCTCATTTTAAAGACATAGCTAATTTCTTATGCTTTATAAAAGTAGGATGCAATAAGAGGAAGTTCAGGAAGATGAATCTAATAAGGTATAGAATCTGTATGTTCACTGAAACCCTGAGAATATTAGGAATTCAACTTTTATTTTTCATCAAACTAGGGAATAAATCGGTAGCCCCTTTAAACCATTGAAGTATTTTATTTTTCATTCGTCCCAATGTGCCACTCTATTGCTCTATTCTTTCCCTCCGCACCATTCAAATATTTTCCATACTCACGTGTATTTTAAAACAGTATTCAAAAAACCACTGTATATTTCAAGAAAGCAATAAAGGGGAAAATGTATAGGTGGTTGAATCTCACCTTAAATCAAATAATTTTACTGTGGATTATTAATTTAATTGAAGATTATGTACACACAGATATTTCATAGTCACAGAGTGGCTTCATTTTGTGATTTTTTACAGTTCAGTGAAACGGTAGTTGTCCACATTTAAATAGAGGTTACAAATCTCCAAACTATCTTTCTTACTAATATATTTATATAGCTAATCGCTTCAGAAATTCCTGCACCTAAGGTGAAGGTGACGGAAACCGGTTATCAGTCAAAGGGATATTTACTGTGACATTGTCAACCAGTATAAAAAGTATTTCAGCTGGCTTCCATTGCATCCAAATTGCTACGTTCTAAGCATAGCCGTATGAAAGAAACTTAATGATGTCTAAGTTCCAAACATTGTTGAAGAAGAACATGTGGCTTACACAGTGAAATGTTTTAAAATTAAAACAATATTTTGATTTTCTAAGCAAACTAAGGTCATTTTCGGTATCTTTCATTAAAAATGACTAAAAATGACCTTAGTTTGCTTATAAAATCAAAACACTTTGGTGTTCAAACTCACTATCACTCGTTTAAAACAGTAGTGAAAGCCATACATCAAGTTCAGAAACCGAATATGATAAGTTACTTCAGCCTTATAAATCCATCAGGCGAAAGTGTAAGACAAAAGGTAGGTAATAACTCTCGTGATTCAATAGCTTAGTGGAGAAACGTTTTCACGTCTTAACAGATGACTAATGGGATCAAATACATTGTGTAAATAAATATTTCCAAAATGTGAGTAAATAAAAAGTAGTGCTGATTTCTGATTCTACAGCTAGACAAACGAGAAAAGAATACACCATGATGATCGATTCATACACTGATTTGCAGTAATGTTATAACCGGGATTTATAAAAAACTGTATACTACTGACTGATTTGGATAAGTAGTTGTATACCGCTTACGTATTTGTGCTTGCTAGCCAGATCGTAATGATCTAAACACCTGACGGCAGTTATGTAATTTTCTTCGGTTTCCAAAGGAAAATGGGGTGAAATTTCGCCCCCTTAAACTATGTTTATTGAGAATTAATTTGCAAGCTGCAAATTTTTTAATCCAGAATATATGTATGGCCTTGAAGACCATAAGAAAATATGAAATGTATGGCACTAGTCACCTACATTCTGAAAAGTGGTGACCTATTTATTACACAAATGGGGAGAAAGACTAACATTTCTAAAAGGATAGAGACAGAAACAGAGATGGGGGAACTATGTGTGTGTGGGAGGGTTAGAGAGACAAGAGATAAGGGATGCACAGAATGCGTGCTTTATATTTTTGCGAAGGTGGAAACACAAAGATGTTTGCCCTTTTCCTCCTGTACGTGTGTGTTTAAAATAAAATCCACGGTAGTCAACAAAACAGCATTTCGAAGTCTGACTGGTTGATTACATGAATGAACATCAGTTAGTTTTTAGTATCAGTGAAAGTGTGCACATTCAAACATATATTCATAAATGAATCAATGAAAACAAGAAAAATTGCCAGTTAGCCCTAAGCACAATGGGAGAAAAAGTCACTGTGGCTTTATTGCTTGTTTCTTGTATGCTTATTTGTGCATATATTGTGAAGATGGACAAACAGACATTTAAGAGAAGGAATAGTTATTGTTTGCCATTTTGTTAAAGGCATAGGTACATTGATAAATTGATAATTTCCTGGGGGGAAGAAGTTGCAATCACCTTGACATTAACAAATAAATCCTATTGAAGAAGCCCAACAAAATGACTGCGAGAGAAGAGGGAGTGTGCTTTGATGAGTGTATGTGTGTTTGCCTGTGTGATACAATCGATTAGTCATTTATATGTGAACTGTCTCTTATACCTGACTACTTTTCGTTTTCATTGTCTACTTATTGACGTCAACAACAAAGACTACTACTGGAAGTAGACGTTGATTTTAGGAGAAATCATAAATCTCTTTTTTCGTTCTTTTCAAATCTGTGCTTCTTCTTTTTCGTTGCCTCGTTGTAATTGTAATTTAAGGTCAAAAATACGTGCACACTTAAAGAGGATAGGATTACATAACAAGAAAAAAGCACAGTAGACCGGGAAAAAGTGTATGCCAAGTGACTTTATACACACAAACACACACATGCACAAAATAGTAACAAGAGGAGGTGAATCTTAGTCAGTCAATCAACCAATCAATAAAACAGATAACGACTTACAAGCATAACACGAATTACACAACAGTTCAATAATACTACTTTCGTTTGAAAGGAAAAAAATTCAGCAGCACCGTTATTATTATCATCGTCATCGTCATTCTAGTCAAAATGATCTATCCATCCATCATGGTCACCAGAGCATCGAATCATTATCAGGCTGTATTTTTTTTCCTTTTCTCTCATCGGTTGGTCACTTTTCGATAAACAGCGTCTTTTTTCTCGTCAAATCCGACTTATCCTGGTTAACCAACCCTAAGGAGTGCATACTGTGACAATCCTAAAAACAAAAATTGTAAATATAATATCAGTTAAAACAAAAAGCTAAAAATCAGGAATCTGTGATCATGTCTTCTGATAGTGGTGTATTTCGACGTCTGTCTCTCCCACCACAATTACAACCACAACAGTCAGTCGCATCATCCACGACCGCCTCAACGACTACGACAACAGCGACAGGATTGTTTTCCACCGGTAATAATAAAACTAAAAAGGAGTGTTTTACTTTTGAACCACAACAGTGGCGTAAATCTGTATGCAAAAACTGTTTTCGTACACAACCAGAGCATAAGCCGCCGCAATCATTGACGCAGCAACTACAACGAATCTCCGGTGAGGAGGACACAACTTCAACTTTGAAAAGTCAACAAGCGCTGGACAACGATGGAAGTAATATGAATAATAACTCTAACACTACTACTATTAATGCTGCTGAGGGGGATAATAGTAGTTATGACGTGAAGGCGCGTGACACTTTTATGAATAAACCTAATAATGGATTAACTGGGAGTAATGCTGCAGCCAGAGCAGCGGCTAGAAAGATTGCTGTTGGACAAAGGTTTGTATTGATCATTTCTTTTTATGCGTGTTTATTCTCTGTGAATAAGTAAAGTACTGTACAGTTGGTTATTTTTATCTGAAACTGTTCGCTATATTTGGTCATGAGCAGGCAATTCAGAAGAAATAAATGAACTATGTAGCTTCAGCGGACGTGGGTTGATTTACTGATAACTAGATAGTTTTACCGTATACCGGCAATAGGTCAGTTGCAGCTGAAGCAGCAGTGAAGTGATTTGTCCATAATAATCACTAAGTATAGTTTGACAGAACTTCCAAATGTTATTACGTTAAGTGTTTTTAAGCAGGTGGTCCATATTTTTTAAAGTTTCCTTAGAGGTAATTAAATTCACTTAAGGATATGACAACTTTTTAAAAAATAACAGGTTTATTGGTATGATTTATACGGAAAACATTTTGAGTATACAATTATATATAATACTTGTACTACTTATTACTATCCAATTACTTTAATCGATGTAACTGAAGTTCCCTTTATTTCTGAACATCCACTTACATTTACCAAATAGATCACAATGAAACAAACGTTTTCTCAATGGTTTCATCATTATTTATCAAGTGTCGGTTTTCAGGGATTTGACTGGTTACAGGTTTGATCCCGAGATGATATCAGTTAGAGTAAAGGAATACTGGAACTCTTCAGCAGTACACACCCGACAGCCTTCAAACTTAGGACCCTCCGGCTACAAGACGAGCTTGTAGACCATTCAACCAATAGGAGCGAACACAGTGACCCATGAATTTCAACCTCTGCAAATCCGATATATATATATATATCATAGGCGAGCAACTGATCTGTTACATAACTTTGTGGACCACACTGGTAACGACTTCTCGCTAGAACTCCAGATAATTTCCTGTATGCAACCAGTCGCTAGTGAGCAACAGATTAATTGTGAAGTTTTGGCTTGGACAGATTTTATTAATTGCCGCAAACTAAAGTAATTCGAAAGGAGTCTGGCTTTGTAAAATAAAAACTTAGAATACAAAATGAATGACTAGGTCGACAAGTTAGAGATTCATCTACTAAAATGTCTATAGACTTAAAGTGCTTTAGAATTTGGAATGTGATAGATATCAATGGAATCCATGACGTTAGTTGTGTCACTTTCGGGTCTTATTATGTGCATATGCCTCCAACGTAATATCATGGTATCTAAAATGAGACTTGAACTAAGAAGCCGTCGTTTGAAACGCTACAGTTGGCTTCAGTTGCTATTTCTTGGTTCTTCCAAGATTTCCATTGTGTTTATTAGTGTTTACGATTCATTCAATGGTAGTATACTAAGGAAAACTTGCTCTGAAGAGATATAATTTAAATAAAAGTTAATTTCAAAGATAAAGTATGTTATCAGCCTTTTGAGATATAAATGGTCTTTGCTTATGAAAAAATTCTTCAGAAACGTCAGTGTAGAGAAAATGTTCATTTAACGAAGACTGGAAGAGATATGGTGAATTCCATTTATCAGAGTTATGTATTTCATAGTAGCTGGTTCATATTATGTACTGCAGACTTTTCGTTTTTTTCATATCCTATACGGATATACATATATTGTCTAGATAGGTGTAATTATTCTCACTTAAATTGTGCATTATATATCACACAATGATGAAACAATATCATGTATTTAATGACGTTCTGAGTACAAAATTATTGTTCATTATCATATTAATTGTTACTGCCCACCTTGAAGTCTCGATTTTCATATTTATCGTTCATCTCTCTCATTTGTTGGAATGGTATCAAAATTCCTTTGAATTCTGAGACAGGTGTCAAAATATTTCTGTTGCTTGCATTCTGAGGTGATTCAATGAATAAAATTTCAATATTCAGCCGTTTTCTTCACCCTGTTTTAACAGATTTTAAGACTGTCACTTTGTTCAGTCCAATTTTATAGTTGTATATAACTAAACGCTTCACAATAGCTGAGCTGTACTGAGAGACTAATAACTAACGCTTTATGTATCCAATCAACTGAGAATACAAGCGATAGGAAAGATTCAGCATCTGTTATGGACATCTAGAAAATTCTATAACTCTTACAACAAATAACAAATAATAACGAAAACTATAAAATTCGGGTTTCGAAGCTGTGCAACTGCATTTGGTATGGTAATGAAAGAGAAATTGTGTACGAAACTTCGTCAGTCAGTAAATATTACTGTTTCCCCGTGTGATATGTCCAAAACACAAATTAATATCGAAATGCATACTACTACAGTGTCCCAGTTTTTCATATACATATATTTATATATTCTTCTCTATTTAAAAAATGAATTTAAATCAACGATTATTTCGGTAATATCATTTTTTCTTGTGCATTAATACGCCACGATAAGTGTACTTCAAAAGCCGAAGGTGAATCTAATTCATATCATGTAAAGAACCCCATCTACAGTTAAAGGCTTAAACTTGTTTGAAGATGAATACAGGTGAAGCAGGACTTCCACTTTATATGTGAAATGTCTTCTTGGAGATGTGCCAGAGGCATAAGTAATAAATGAAAATAATTAAGGGAGAATATACTTTAATTAGGCGTGAGATATGTTCATCAATAGATATTTTCCTCTATTTACAATTTATATTTAATTGACCAGCTTTCCAATACTGATTGCCGTCTATTGACTATTCAATGAATCCACTATAGTCTGACAGAATATCAGTCGTAAGCGTGAATGCGTGGGTGTTAATATCTCTGATGGCAGCACTGTGTGTCATGTCACACTGTGAACTTGACTGTGATGCGAATTCAGCCAGCACCAACAATAAGGACTAAACAGATAACATAAATCATTCCCTTCAAGGTTGCAGATACGCCCTGCTGACGAGTGTCCATAAGTATGCCAAATGCCTCCAACCACCTAACATCAATGAATATGAGTTTCGTAAAGTACTAAAGATAACCCGCATTCGTAATTTTTAATACTTACAATTCATTATTTGTGCGTCGGTGGCATAGCGGTTAGGACGCTCGCCGACCATGCACATGGTCCCGGGTTCGAACCCTGGCCGATGCACTCCTTCACCTCACTAAACCAGAAATAATGCTGGTGAAGAGGAAAAGTTTGGCATGAGGCTAGCAACCCCATCCTGTAAAATAAACATTGCTACAGAAACTTCAAGCCACTAGCTTGAAGCCCTATGTTCCACCTGGGAACGTGAAGGATAAAAAAAAAATTCATTATTTGAGTTCTCCTTCCTGTGAACTGATTCATATTATTCAATAGTAAATCATGGTGGACTGATTTTCGAGAAAGTGTCTCATTACTTGCCTTACTGAGTATGTTGGGCATCCGACTAGTTGAATATGAATTGTAAATACAAGAAGATATCTCATGATGAAAATATCATCTGTATAATTGAGGCATCTTCTCTCTTAATTATTTTCACTAAATACTTATCGGTCTCCTGCATTTTCAAGAAAATATTTCATATATGAAGTGGTAGTTCTACACACGTGACCAGTCAGTGTATATCCATATTCATGCCTGCCGTCAAATTTTCATCGTTCAAAATCCTACCTGATCGATATTCAGTAACACTTAAAAACAGGATTCTGCATATCATATGTGTAACTAATACGTATGAATGGTCCTATTCTACTGGAGGATAATTATAACACACTTATTTATGTGCTAAGGTTTCTCACTTAGTTGCTGAGTTGTTTAGTTTTGAACAGTGGAGGGAATATGAACTTCATGAAGCTTACAGATTAGTGTGATTGATGAATGTTAATATTTTTGAAACTGAGATTTATAATCGCCTTCATAACGACAGTCTTATATAGTCCAATATGTGTGTAATATTACAATAAATTCTAATGGCTATACTGAAGTCTAGAATTAAAGGAAAGTGGTCCCTGTGTATTTCTATACTTGTCATTTACTAACACTTTCTTAATCATAAGAGTTAAAAAGCTCAATATATATTCTTTAATTGCACGCTTTTCTTAGAGATTAATGATTTATCAGTCACCTTCAAAGTTCTTTTGAAAAATACAGTGACAATAGAGTGAATTCGTTCATTTACGGTTAACTCAGTGATAAAGTTGTTTTCACGATGTTAGCAAGACATTAATGCGATATTGAAATGTTAATTTAGTTGGTTTAGAAATGAAGCCATTCATTATTCCATTCCCTACAGTAGTTTGTTTAAATATATATGGCTTTGTTAAAAAATTAAATTCGGTGATTATATTTTATACTTAATTGATGATTAATACAATTCACTATTCTAAAAGAAGCCTCAAATAAATCTTTGAAGGCTACTATTAGTGTTATCGTCTAAAAGAAAATAAATTGGTTAAGTGTCTTCTAGATAACTTGGTTGAAGGAAGAAGTTTGGCCAGAAGATCAAAATAAAGGTGATCCAAGTATAAATATGTTCATATAAAGTTAAAAATAAGTAAGTTTTGGCAGTTTTTGACAGTGAAGAATTATTTCACATACAATAACGGGTGAACTGATAAGTTAGTGAACAGCTTTTGTCCGTAGCGACAATGAAAACTTCACAATTAAAACATCCAACTCAGATAACACAATAACACCGAAAATAATGGCTGTTCATGTAACAAGTTAGTTATAAAGAGTTATCTGACTAAGAAATTTCCTTATGGTTAGAATTTATCAACAAAGCACATGCGCAAATTGACGCATATTTGTCTTCCCTCTTCGACTACAAATTTCAGCTTTTGGTACCGAAGTCAGAGGACTAAACTTAGTTACTTATGTCACGACTACTCACTTGTGAAATTGAACTATGTGTGTCATAATGTGAATTATCATATACTTTTGTGTAAAATGGGTCTACATTTGCGACATCTGAGAATCAGTTTTCAACGCACAGTATGTATAGGCGTAAACTATTAGTAACAGTGGCTCAAAACTATTCACACTGATACAGATGTATTTTCTGTTTATGAACTCTCACATAGATTACATTTTCAATACTGCTGATATACTTGGTTGTCTGATAAGTGTGCTTATCAAATTGTAAGAAAATTCGACTGTTTATCAGGCTATTACAGTGCACGTCTCATCAACATTTAAATCGGTGGTCAAGGCGGTCTGTGATATTAACGGTTCCCAGTCTATCTTCTCCTTCAGTCTAATACTAAGGTAACGACTTGATTGTCAAGTACCAAGATTATTTGACTGAAGAATTCTACAGAAATTTGGCAACTTATTAAATTATATATCGCTTTTTTCCTTGCCTTCGTGTTCCAAGCGGAACATAGGGCTTCCAGCTTTCAAGTTTCAGTTGTTTTCATAGGATTACTATATGCTAGTTCACTAGACGAGATTTAGGGGTGTGTTGGCTGGCAATTGAACCCCGGACCAAGTGTATGGCTGACGAGCATCCTACTATTAAACTACAGACTCACAAAACATAGGCTATTTAAAATATATTACAAGTAAAATGATCACTTATTGGACGTTTCTTTTTGTCCCCTTGAAGAATCTACTGACAGCTTTTCCTTTTTTGCTTTCACATGATTTTTACTACAGATATTCTGATTCCGAAGTGCGCAGTTCTTTAACTGGTCATGAAATACGTAAATCCTCTGGTACTATAAACACTAATATAGGTCAGCAGCAGCAATCAGCTCATGGAATCGTTCATTCTTCTGTATCAAGTATTGACGCTAGATATGTTGAAGAATTAGAGAATGATTTCTTTGCATTAGAAGATAAACATGAAATGTTGATTAAAGAATATGATGAGTTAAATTCAGAATTAGAAATAAAAGTACGTACAATTAGTGAGCTACAAACAACCCTGGATCAGTATCGTGAAAAAGTAACCCTACTTGAAAGACGTTGTGGACACTTGGAAGAAGAGATAAAAAGTTATCGGTAAGTTGACGAATATTGGTAACTAAGCTTTTATTTCACTTTAATTTACTGTCATGAATAAAACTACGGGTTTAAATAACGCCTAGTTGACAGCAGTGATATTCATATAGAGTGATAACTGAAAGTTAAACGAAAATCTGGTTGGTTGTAGGATTTGAGGTATTAAGTAGCTTCATCACTTTAATTTTCTCCATAATATTCATCTGACATCCTATATTCTCTGTCCCTTTTGTCAAACTGTCAGTTTCCACTTGCAAACCTTTGAGTTTCTGCTACATGAGACAAAACTCATCGGCGAAATACAGATCTTCTAGGGCTTTTTTGTCCGTTTAACATCTGCTTATCTTCTCATTCCTCATGGCCTACTGCATGAACTAGTTTAATACCGGTTAGCTGCGGCCCGTGTTTTCCACGCTACCGGTTGTTATCCTGAAACTAAAAGACGAAATACCTAGGTTGGTCACTTATTATTCTATCTATCAGTTCAACTGCTCCTGTCGGACCAGTTATATTGGCTGTTGCTCTAGGAACTTAATATTTTGTGCTCGGCAACACCTACCAGAGTGGTTTCATAAAGGCGTAGTTAAGAACATCAACGGTTCCATATTTGGTTGTCTCATTCAAACAGGCCAAAAAGTTGTTTGAAGAGTCATTTTCTATCATCTATCGGGTACCGAATAAATTACCAAAGGGCTGTAGAGACCAAAACCTCTAAACATCAGAGGTCAATGCAATGCACTTAAAACAACTGGAGCCCCTGTTTGCAAAAGAAGCAAGTTCAGTCATTATCGCTTCCCTGACCTGCAATGGAACCCATAAATTCATTGATTCTGCATTATTCTTCATTCATCTGATATTCAGTTTAGTGTTATATTCATGCATATCGTCACTCACAGATGCTTTTGAGCTCTAATGCATCGATCTTACTGATTCGCTGTAACTTAAAAAAATTGTTATTAACAACACTTCTTCTTAATCACATTAGTATTAATTGATGGAGATAAGATGTTCTACATTATTTCCATAATGGTTTTCTTTCTGAAAGAATGCAAAACAACGTTAACTACCAGTGGTTATATGACCCTACTCATCACAGTCGCCATCTTATTTGTTTCAATAGTATCTTCAATATTGTGAAGAGTGTTTACATGTTCTCACTCTGTCTTTATCTTTAATCTTAAATTGTAGAGAACGTTTAAAACTTCCAGAAAGTGATCAAAATCACTCACCAAATACAAATATATTAGATCAACAATATAATAATAACAATAACAATGTCGGATTAACAGATATCCACTGTAGTGCTGAATTACAACAACGTCTGAATGAAGTTGAACAATTATGTCAAGAAGTTATGGAAGAGAATGAACAACTTAAAGAAGATGTCGAGGAAATGCATAGAGAAATTGAAGAAATGCACGATCATTTTCAGGTAATTTCCCCTTATTTTATATCATTATTTCATCATGTTTTCTTTGATTTATGTCATTTCGTTTGGAATTATGATTTGGTGTCAGTAAGATGTACCACTGAAAACAGAGAGACTAGTTTCTGATTCTATGTTATTCCACACTCATGACTCTGCATATCAATGAAACCAGAACCTTAAGGTTATAAAGCACAAGTTTATTACAGTTTAATCAATACGTTACATTTCTTTAACAGGTAGTTTGCAACATTTTACAGTTCGTATTACAGCAACGCCTCCCCAACCCCTTACACTACTTTTCATAAGAATATAGGCGATTCCAAAGTGAATGGAAATTACATTCTCAAACTCTTGAAGATCTTACACGAAATAAGGAGTTTATAATACGAGATTTGTTCACTGTTGATAAGCAAACTCATAAGAAAACGGAGAAAATCAGATGACAACAGTCTGAACTACTTTCTCTTTCTGAAAATGACTTAAGAAAGTTACCAGTGCTTTGTGCAAAGAATATTTAATTCTGATTGAACATCCAGGCGTATTAGCAAATTAACGGGATGCCTGTTGGCTTATGCCTGAGTAGTGTTCTTGTAGACACATTCATATCTCACCATAAACAGATCCAAACGAAGTCGGTAAAGGAGGAGACCACGTATTATTGCACGTATGTTGACGACTAATGCATGTTTTGAAGTAACATGGACCATGCATCCACGATGTTTGAAAAAGTTAATGTGACTCATACTCATATTACATTTATGGTGAATTATGAAAGTAAAAATCAGTTCCAATTCCTAGCTGTTAACATGAAAAGAAGAAATGATGGGGTGACTGAAAAATTGGTTTATAGAAAAGAAACGTAGACTAGCCAATACTCGAATTATCACAGTTTTTGACTAGTCGGTTAAAAACGGAGCCTTGTGAAAGGGTTTTCCAAAAGAGTTAGGATGTAATGTTAAGAAAATAAGAAGAGGAACTTATGGCTGTTGAAACGAACTCCATGCAGACTGGATATATATATATATATGTATATATATATTCATATTAAAATGTGAAAGTGAAAAACACCTAAACTGAAGTCTGAAACAGTTAGAAGGAAACGAGTTTTCATCTGTTTAGCGTAAAAATTGGAAGAAGTACTCAAAATAACCGAAAAAAAGAATTAAGGATTCTTTGAAGAGCACATTTCTCGCCTCCAAACTGATTCTGCTCTACAACACGTTATGCTGCACAACTCATTCAAAAGTAAAAAAGTATCCTGCTCATATAAACCCCAACTGCATTTACTGATTCATCTGCACTTGAGACAGCAAGTACATAGGAAGGACTGAGATGAGAGCGTCTACTGAATTTTCTGATCATATCCTTAAAAGTGTCCCTACGAAAGTCATCAAAATCTCCTTTTTTCATTCTTATACTAATCTCGTTAAAATATTCATCGGGACCTCATTCATTTAGAAATTGTTAAACATAGTTTAGAAAAATATTAGAACCGGACATGTAATGGATAAATGCATTCATTAATGGTAACACAAAAGTACACATATACAATTTTATGAAATGTGTATACTCAGCAGTCAGGTGTACAGGAGGAGTTTAGAAATCAAGGATACTTAATGGATCTAACCCAATAGTCGAATGTCCATGTTGTATAAATCAAAAAGGCAGATGTGAGTAAAGAATATTCTTTTCGTGATGTCACCTCAAAGCAGTACATTTATATAGTATTCTGGAATGTCAGGATAGGATCTATCACGGTCACCATTCAGATCGGTCGGCGACAAAAAAAGAAGTAAAACTAAATATCAGGAAGAATAACAAATTACAAAGTTTAAAACGTAAGCTGGTGAATGTCGCTACTGTAGGCACTTAGAAACAGAAATGTTGTTCAAAAGAAAAGCAGTTTCAGGATGCTTTTCAAGTATATTTTACAGTGAGATTTGAAAAAAATAAGCGGAAAAAGCCAAATAAATATGTTCTACAAACCAAATTATTGTAAAAGTTGGAAAAAATGAAAAATTTAAGGCCTCTGTAGTAAAAGGGATTGGATGAATGGCTACTGTAGACACAGTTTAGTGTTTTCTTTGTTTATTAGCAAGAGCTTCTGCTGTGTGCAAGATATAGCCTGAAAACTTTCGAACGACTTGATCTTACCTTATATATCAATTTTAAAGATTTTTCTAATGGTTCAGAGTGATATGTAAGAACAAGGTGCTCAACCATTGAGTTATTCATTGGTCTGATTCTTTCTTCCAACAATCATGTTGAAAGGTCTTCTCTTACACGTCTGTACAATAGCCTTCTATCAAGACCTATGTACTTATCTCCACAGAAGCAAGTATATGGATGCTGTAATAGTGGGACACTCTCTAACGCTTTGATAGCGTGGAAACCCTAGGATGAAGAAAAGCACTTTTTTTGAAATCCTGTTGATAATCTGCTTTGAAAAATATCGGATGTTTTACCTTTAAATTTCACGTTTACAAGTAACTATTTCGGTACTTCTGTCCTCTACGAATTATCCATCTTATGTTCCATATGTTTACTGATGGATTTCGGTAGATAACCATTCTGAATTAGTGCGATGCGGAGAGACTCCAGTTGTCTATTTAATGTGTCTTCCATGAATATGCGATAGATTTTCGTGAGAAGAGATTTTCTGTGGTTTTCCTTTCTATTTTTTAGAACAAGGCTGTAAAAGTTAGTCAACTGTCCATTCCATTCTGTTTTGTGGTGGAGTGGTCTCCTGACTGTCGCATCAGTTTTTCTCGAAAGTTAAACATCTAAGAATAGGAGTCTTCTTTCAGACTCAACGTTTTATGTTAAACCAATTCATCGATCAGCATTACTAATTACTTTAAGGATTTTATTTAGACCACAATTTTCATCGACATTGAGGAAAATATCATCCATATGATGTCATCAATAGAATTTGGACCGATTAAAAAGTGGTTGAAGACAACTGGATTTTAGGTGTGCCATGAAACAGCTAGTAAATGGATTGAGTATAGACGCAATGGCTGCTTCATAGTTCTGTCAGTGTATTTCAGCATTAAACAGGAATTTAATTTTGAATGGGAATCTTAATGTTAGCTCCTGAATACATTAAGTAGATACTCCTAAATTTAAATTATTTACATAAACAGCAAACCGTTCCTGTCATAGGAATGTTTTTAAACAGAGAGACGACATTTAATGGAGCCATAATCATTACAGTCACGTTTACCTTATCTTGTGATTTCGAAAATTCGAAAGCGTCGAGTGATATTAAGGCACAGCCCTAAATTCACGAGTTTCAATGAACAAGTATTGCTAGTCGGTGGCAGTAAATGTTATTTAATAGTCATATCTAGACAGCTGGCTTCAGAGTTAAACATCTAAAATTGCATCTTCATTATCTCATGGTAGAACATGCTTCTAATTGCATCAGAAATTCCTAGCCTTTATTAATGTCCCAGTGGCGCTCATTCACACTGATGTACTTTGGGAATATGTCAGATTATCGCCCAAGGTGCTTTGCCATTATTTTTCTAAAAGGTTCTAAAATTTCTAACAGCCATTGAGCTACAAAATGATTTGGCGACACTGACATATCTAAAAGTGGATTCAAGGGTAATCCGTCTTTGTGAAATCTAAACAAACCATGAAGACCTGATGTCTTTCATACCGAGGGTCTAATTCTTCCAAATACCTCAACAATGATTCTTAGATTTACTCCAATTTTTGTGAGAATTTTCGTTAACCGTATTTCTATTTTTTCATCCCCTGAGTTTCGAGTAGAAGAAATGACTCCAAGCTTTGAGCTTTGAGGTTTCGTCAGAGGTGGCAGTGTTATTTATACGGGATGGATTTGCTAACCTCATGCTCAACCTAACCTGTTTGCAGAGAAAGTCGTTGGACCTAGACTTCCTGCTTGGTTGACGAGCATCCTTCTATTGAATCGCTTATGGACAGATTTTCTTGTATTACTGTAATGTGAATCTTTTATCCAACTAGCTCTGTGAACTTGATGTTATCATCCAAAATTTTTGACATCCTTACTATATATAATCTAATTTGTTTAGGAAATATCAGTTTCTTTGTCATTGTAATATAATGCTCCTTAGCCTTACTCTAGGTTGGCGGGGGGTGGTGTGTGATAAGAGTAGAAATTACTTCTTGTAAAGCCAAGAATTAGTTTTTTTTTGATATATATATTTTTTGGAATCATCTTGTTTGCTTACACAAACAGATGAATGAATTTATGGAGGAGAATAATAAAAACTAATTATCGACTACAAATCGTACACAAAATGACACTTACATAAATAAGGTGTATCCAGGTGCATGCAAAATGTAGTCACTTGTACACATACTCACACAAGAATTCTCCATGTATGAAAAGGAATAAAAGATATAACTGTGTACAAATATTTATGTAATTCAAATAAATAGACACTTCATGTAAAAGTTAAATAAAGAAGGATTTAGAGAGACTTATCAGATATCACCTCCAAAATTATAACCTGGAATAAAAAGCATAAATATACAGCTTACTAAAAACAGAGATGATTTTATAATGTAAACAAATTACCGCATTTGCAGTACAATTTTATTTGTTTTAGTAAGAAAGAAGTATGCGAGTGGACAAAGTAACAATATTATTAGTAGTAATAGGGTGATTGAACAAACTATGGCTCAAAATTCAAGTTGTAGTCCAATATGTAGGAGTTTGTTATTATCCTACTTACTACAGAAACTCTGTAATAGTAGTAGTACGTCCACCTGAAAAGTCTAAAATAGGACGAAACGTGCGTCTTGGATTCACCGCTGGATGGCGGTAGTAAGTTTTGAACTTTAACACCCAATTCTCTTTGGGTATGCATTTTCTAAAAGTGATAATCATTAGTGTAGCTTTCAATATAGACATTAATCGTTATCGTAATTTTTGCCTTTATAAGTCTTAATTTATTTTTTTAAATATATATGTTTGACGAATTTTTTCATTGTCAGGAAGAAGATCGTGATGCTGTGCGCGAACTTCAACGTGATTTAGAAGCAGCGAACAAAGCCTGTAGAATATTACAATTCAAGTTACGCAAAGCTGAAAGACGTTTTGAACAATGTGAAGCTGAACGAGCCAATTTAGAAGAACGTTTAGCTAGACTTGAATCTGAATTGTACAGTGAAGCTGATGTTGCTCATATTCATAATTTAGAAGTAAGCTATAATATTTTTTAAAAACATTAAGGATTATTTCTAGCAAATATAAAAAATTAAGGTATAATTTTAAGATTATTTTCGTTTGAGTTCATAAAGAGATGAGTATTTCGTCATAAACCGTGATGATATCAATACTGGAATTACTCTAAAACCTCTAAATACTCAAAATATCTCAATACTATTCCCTGCTCATCAGTTGTTACGGGAATGATACTTTGAAGTTTTATTAAGAAGTCAGGATTAGTTGCATCCGCAGTGTTACTTGAAAAGTGAAAAGTCATCATTTGCAATGGTCGATGGTGGCGCATTGTCACTAATTAATGAAAGTTAGAATTCTCGTGTCACTGAGTTCCAACCCAATAGTTGAATAATCAAGGAGCTGGCTTCATAACCTGAAGGTCCCGATAAATGAACCCATCAGCAGGTATGTAGAGGGCAAAGGGACTATCTCGGTGGCTGATGATCTTAATAATATTTTAATCTCTCACTAACTACATTTATCATAAGCGTATAGTATCAGATGTCAGTAGATGCAAACACCCTGACGAATAAATCAGAACAATGTTGACTTACACAATAACCAGTTTAAAAGGTTATATATAACAGAATACAGATTAATTTCGGCATCAAATATTGTATTTCAGAAGTTGCTAGTTTATACCAGATGTGTCAGCAGCTGAGTGGCAGAATACTCGCTAACGACTCACGTACTTCGGAGTTCGATTCCTGATCAACACACTCGTAAACCTCTCTTAGCCGGTAGTAACCCGGCAAAGAACGAAGGTCAGGTGTGAAGCTGGCAATCCCACTTTGTAAAAATTAAATTACTACAGCTGTTGAAACTTCAGTAATAAAGCCTGAAGCCTTGTGTCACACTTGGAAAGTAAAGGATTGAAAAATAAATAAACTACACTATGTATCCCATTGTCAGAGATCAAGGATAAATAGATTTTTTTTAAATTGAGACAGTTGACGATTTGACTTCTTAAACTGGAACAACTACCTCATAAAGTCAAAGATGAACTGATCCCTGGAGAATCTGTTATTAAGTCAATAGACTGAAGGCTATGAGATATGTGGTTAAACTATTATAATACATAAGATTATCAGGGAACTAGAATTGGAGCACATTTATTTTAATGTTTTTGCATAAGTTAGCAATGTATCTTATATCGTCAGACTTGTCAAACAATTTAGTGTCAAAATAAACAATTTAATTGATCCATAATTGTTTCACTAAATTATCTTTTATTATCTTGAAATAAAGTGTGTCCTTCAAGTTTATTTTAGAAGTAAATTCAGCTACATGTACAACACAAATAAAGTCAACAAACAGAAAATTAATGCCATAATTATAGTGAATATGTACTAGGAAGTAATCAAATTGCAGTTTGTAAAGGAAGGGATCCAGGTGAAAGGATGACATACGATTTAATGGTTGGAAAAAAATGTTGGGAGTGTAGGTGGAGTTGTCATTAGACAGATGATGTAGGAAAGAGCATAGACGAGCATAGTTTGTCTATGAGCTAAAGCAGAAATCATGTGATTATTAATCAAGGATGGTCGACTGAAAAAACAGGGTTTATCTATTATTAAAGATCATATTAAATGGAAACATTTCATATATTATTCTAATAACCCAACAAATTTAATTTAAAGAGACTGATATCCATATCACATTATTACTTGAAATCACTTCTATGAATTTCCTTAAAACTATAAAAGTATATACACAAAAAGAACAGGAAGGGAACTCTAAGTCATCAAGATTAAGTAGTATCAAATCATCATGTGACATCATCAATGAAAATGACTTCTGAGATAAGTATTAAAAATGACCTCATTGTAATACACATTTCATAAAGTCCTTGCTTTCTTAAACAACCTTTAGTTGCGGTATTACTCTCTTAGTGGCCCTGTAGTGAGTTGCATACCCCTAACTGATCATTTTTAAGAAGTCTTGTGTTTTCAGTCTGCCGAACACCACTGAAATCTCCGTTCCCATTCCAAGTTTTAGAAAGGAAAGAAATAAAAGTATTTTGCTGAGAAATAAGAATCAGTAAACTCCAAACAAAAAAGACGAATTTATCTGAATCGTGTAATGTTTATTTGAGCAAGACATTTAGAAACTCTTGAGCACACACACGTCCCTTTAATACATACTTATGATAGGGCATAGAATGTCAAAACTAAATCACTATGGACCGAAATGTTGATTTTGGTGTCAAAATCACCGGAAATAGATAGAAGATAAAAGGGAAGAAATATTCTGGTGTAAATAACCCCTGGTTTTAATATTGGATTTGCAAGAAAAGTTCAATGTTTTACCAAATACTATTTAAAGTTAAAAACAGCTAGAGATTGAACAAACTTGAGTATATGACTAAATCGTGTTTCAACTAGGGGTTTGAAGGTAGTGCTAAGATTAATTTCAACTGTTACATCTCGTCACGAACCGAAATCAATTAGGAATCACTTAAAACCAGGGAGCGATGGACAGCCATTTCGTCCTATTTCGGGAGTGTTCATCATTGCTCACCCATGACTGCATCAGGGACCCAACCTGAAACACAGGGGTTATGAGACCAAGGTTGTTGACCATTCAACCACTCGGGTCAGAAAATAATGAACCGTGAATTCTGACTCTGTCAACTCACAATTAGACGCCACACTCGCTGATGCCTTCGATTAGCACCCAATTCACCATGACGTGGTTGACTCTACTGGTTACGATTTCTCAGTACAGCTTCAGAACATCTACCCAGTAGCGATCAGTGAGCTGGGGACTGATATTTAGATTATAGGATTTCTGGGGATTTCATCAACAGCAGTTAGTTATCAGTTAATGGAAATCAGTCAACATCCTTTTTGGAGTCTGGCTGAGTCTATGGGGTCTCTTATTTTACACATTTACGAATCTTAACCAATTTCTGAGATTTTTGTATTTGTTCTTCACTGTTATCCTCAGTAGATATCTGTTGAATACGTCTGAATAAACACTTAACAAATACCTTGGAGTGGACAGAAATTATCGTAATTGAGATACCATGGTTCTAGTGTCTTGTTGCTTCGTTTTATCGGTAGGAGAGTTTCCTAAATATGTGTAATGGTTAATGAATGAATTATTCCAGTTGTGTATATTTAGTATTCATTTGATAAATTAAGGGAGATTCGTTATTCATTAAAAGTCAATCTGAACGAAGAATATTCTTTTCAATAATTTCTCTTCAGGTTCTTACAATTATAAAATATAATATTTGTTGTCGTTACAATAAAGGCCAGTTATGCGGCAGATACATTTTTAACGTAGAATAACAGATTAGTTATCGGGTGTCAAAATAAATAGTCGTTTTTGTGTCACAAACGTGTTAGGCTGAATTCGATTACAAAATATTGTAAAACGGAAGAAAATGGTGATTAATCATAATAGATTTGTAGAGTGTGGGGTAGGAAAATTGACAAGTCAGTTCAAGGTTATAAAAGGTGTCAGGTGAGTGACTAGTACAAAGTGGTCTGTGTTAAACAGGAGATAGTAAAACTGCAATGAGAGGTTCATAATGAGATAACGAATATGTGAAATGAAACAGGTGGAGGCATATATTGAGAAAAGAGATAGTCTTTAAATATTCCCATTTATAATATTAGAACAAGACATATAAGCGAACAATATTGTTTTCAATTAGATCTTCTTCAGGCTTTACTCTAATTTACATAGATTTATATATAAAATTTTAACCAATGACGGTGATTTTGGGAATCAAATAATAATAATAATAATAATGATAATAATAATGTGGTAAATGTTTTGAACGTAGTTAATAACGATGATTATAATGATAACAAAATATTGATAATAAGTTTTATGCAGGTGATAAGAATAACAAAGATAGTATATGTATATAAGTGTATAAATAAATTGGGTCATATCTTAAAAGGTGAAGTGGAACGATAATAAGAGTTTAAATAAATATTATAAAAGTACAAAGGAGGTGGAAAATAAGAAAGGGTGGGAGGGTTTTGAATACAGTTCACCTAGGCCAAGGGAGAGACAAAGGTAGAACAAACTTCTTTTGTATGCAAAGACTAGGATTTTTCTCTCGAATTCCCATAGCTTCGGCTAAGTGTAAAAGACGGTTTCTGATTCCATTCGAAAGACTCGATGGAATATGATAGATAACTCTTCGCCCAGTCCTGGATATGTCAAATTCTACCTACCATGGAGTGGCAAAGTGGTTAGGTGAACTCCTCCAACCGCTACACAAATTGGTAGTAAACCATAATGTTAAAGACGTTTTCGAATTTATTGCTAACGTGAATGATATCAATGTAAATGGGAAGCAAATGCTTTCCTTAGATGTAGCGTCACTGTTTACCAATGTATCACTTATGGAGACTGTGGATTTCATATGCCAACAGATACTAGAAAAGCAGACTGACATCGGAATTCCAGTTGTTAGTCTGAAAGAGCTGCTTTTAAGATGTACTATGAATGTACATTTCTTATTCAACAACCTTTACTACAGGCAAATTGACGGTATTGCCATGGGTTCTCCATTGGGGCCAATTCTGGCAAATTTCTTTCTAGCCAAGATTGAAAATGGTCCATTGAGACAAGTAATAGAGGAAACTGATTCTTATTTTCGTTATGTTGATGATACGTTCATTATTCGTGATGTGAAAACTGACAAGAATGTAATGTTAAAAAAGTTTAATGATGCACACCCATCGCTCATCTTCACGTGTGAAGAAGAACATGATGGTGGATTACATTTCCTTGACGTCCAATTGAGCAGAAGAGAGGATGGTTCACTCAAGAGAGATGTCTATAGAAAACCTACATCTGTAGGACAATATACACATTTCCTCAGTTTTGTACCAATCCGATATAAAATCAATTTGGTCAGATGCCTTACGAATAGAGCAAGACGTATTTGTACAGATGATTCCCTAGAAAATGAGCTAGGATACATTCAAAATACGCTGGTCCAAATGGGTTA